ATTTACTATTTTCTGATCACTGGTCTCAAATTAATTGCCGGTAGCGTATGTTTTCTAATTTTATTACATGATCAAACGATAATAATGTTTAGTAAATTGTTAAATAAACTAAACGTAAGGTTTAGAATTTACCCTGAGTATAAATGAGTAATTATGTAACATCCATTATTTGTTCTAGTGAAATGCATGAAAGATTTCTATGGTACATCTCTTTTTAGAAACATTAGTATCACATACAACAAAATTTGATTTGCTTGATAAGTTGGTGGGCAATGGTTTCAAGAGAGCTCCTAATAGAATAGCATAACATTCCTAATAGAATAGCATAACAATTATAGTATGACATTTTTGTATGCTTACATTTTAATAAACACAAAATAATAAAACTTATAAGAAATTTATCAGGATCTAGGTTAATACACCTAAATTTTCATTTGTAAAAGATTTTTTTATGTATAATATAAGTCATTTACTTAAATAACTTATACATAAAAAATATTTTTAAGACAATCGTTAAAAACGTTAAAATGTTTCATTTAGACATAATAATAACAATAAAAAACTTATTCGTGAGACAATTAAAAAACGTTCAAAAATTGTTTTTTAGAAAAATGTCTGGTCACTGTTTCATATAGACGTTCAAAAAAGCCAATAAAAAACGTTCTCGTGAGAATCTTATAAAAACGTTTTTAAAAAAAATCCTAGTCACCATTTCATATGGACGTTCAAAAAACCAAAAAAAACGTTTTTACAAGACCTTTAAAAAATGTTTGGAAAACGTTTCTGTGCCACTAGGATATTTTGAGCGGCCCATTGAAATTTTGCTATTTGGTTACTTAGTGGACCATTAGTGGATCCAATATAATTGACCAGCCGATAATTTATAACATGTCATACATTGGCTAGTCATCGGCTAACCACTTTTGGCGGCTGCCACTAATGGTGCAGACGCCAAAACACTAATGGTAGTAAAACTAGAGTGGACCACTAAAAATGTCTGTATAGGTTCACTGAAGATTAGCTATAGAATGTTTGTTTGGTAGAAAATATTTACAATGATATCTATATCACTAATAACAAAAGTCCTTGGTAAAGACTTGGCGCTTGGAACTATAAGGGGCACAAAGATTCACACTAAGAAGGCAGCTAATTAAAAATGTGAGCTTGAAACCTTCTTCACAGCTAAATGCCATATCAGTTTTTCAAGCGCTAATTTATAAATCATAACATAAACGTATCATAAAAATTTGTCTTAAGCGTCTTTAAAGGTCAAACAACTATGTACCCGTGCACGTGGTGTTGCAGACATACTCTTTTTTTTTTTTTTTTTTTTTTTTTTTCTTTAAATTTTCACAACTACATTCTAATTACAAATTTTTTTCACTGCAGTATTATAAAGAAACTGTACTTCCTAAACAACAAAAAAAAAATACATTTTACAAAATACCGTTAGGTATAGGAAGCAATAATTAGGTATGCTATGACTTGATAAGAAGGGTTTTGTTGTTGTAGGGAACTCGTAGAAGACTGAGATTAGTCTTATCATTGAGAACCTTGAGGTATTGCTTAAAGCACACATATAAACAATGTGATTCTCATTAAAGAAATGTTTTACATGTTATTATTGCAAACTTTTTTTTCTTTTCTTTTTAATTGAACTATGTTTTGTGTTAGTGTTGAGGTTTATAATAATAATACTAGCTTTATTTGTTAAACAAAAATTTACATTTTCCATATGTATTTGATTGCTGATTATTTTAATTTGAGCGTAAATTTTGATTTACCATTAGAACTAGAACATTTCTAGGTAATTATCCATATTAAGAACATGATTTTTGAGTTTCGACTTTAAAGAAGTTATATTGTTGGGAGAGAAATCGAGGTATAATTCGGAATTAATTTGTTGAATAAATATGGGCCACGATAAGAAATAGAAAATTGAGAACTTTTTTTTTTCTTCAGGGGTACAATAAAGTTACCAGTTGCTCTTGTGTTAAATTTGTTGATATTAGATTGAAAGAAGTTTCCTGTGAATCGGTTTGGAACTAATCCTAGTTTGTATTTAAGCATAAACAAAATGTTAGCGTAGATATTAATTTGGTAAATGTTTAGTGCTTTCATTTCTTTTAATAGGGGTTTAGCGTGGGTCAGTTTGTTTTTATGATGTATTATTCTAGAAGCATGTTTTTGTCGTCGATAAAGAGATATTAATTTTGTCTTGTGTGTGCTTCCCCAGGCTATGTTGGCATATGTGAGATAACTATGTATAAAGGAAAAGTAAAGAAGTTTTAGGTTTTTTTGCGATAAAAATGGTCTAGCTTTAAAAAGTATACCAATACTTTTAGATATTTTAGCGTTGATGGCATTTATATGAGCTGTCCATAAAACATTTTCGTCAATAATCACACCAAGAAATTTAATTGTTTGGGTTCTTTCAATTTTTTTGTAGTCAATACTTAGTGTCGGTAGAATTGATGGTAGTTTGTTCTTCTGTTTCTTTGAGTGATATAAAATATATTTAGTTTTTTGCGCGTTTAATGATAACTTGTTAGCACTGAACCATGTTTTAAGATTTTGAAGTTCAAAGTTGACTTTATCAAAGAGGTCATTGATAGAGGTAGATGAATAGAACAGATTGGTATCATCTGCAAACATTATACAATCGAGATTTGTAGAGGCTTTAGGAAGATCGTTAATGTAGTTAAGGAATAATAAAGGTGCAAGAATAGATCCCTGGGGGACACCGCATTTGATTTTTAATAACTCCGTATTAGAGATACCGTCTATAATAACACATTGTTGCCTGTTATTTAAATAATTAGTGAATCATTTAGTAATCATTAGTTTGATTTTTTATACCGTATTTTCTCATTTTTTCGAGGAGAATTTTATGGTTGACAGTATCGAAAGCTTTTGTAAGATCGATAAAAACTCCCAATACAAATTTTCCTTTATCAAATGACGAGCTAATGTTGTCCATTAGGTCTAAGGTTGCATGTTCCGTAGAATGATTAGTTTGAAAGCCGTATTGACATTCACTTAGAATTTTATTGTCTGCTAAATATTTATAAAGTCGGTTGTACATTATTCTTTCCAGGAGTTTGGAAAACACTGGAAAAATTGAGATAGGTCTATAATTGGTTAGCAATGCCGTGTCTCCAGTTTTAAATACAGGTAAAATCTTCGCAATTTTTAATTTGTTCGGAACAACTCCAGTTCTAATTGATGACTTGAAAACAATAAATTAAATTACTCTAAGATAGTAATGATTGAATCAAAAACTTTTTTAATGTATTAGAGCATATAAAATCTTTTCTTATTTTCTTATTCTTTAGTAAATCTCATGGACCTGACATGTTCAACTTTAGACATCATAAGCTGTAAATATAGGCTAAAAGTAAGTGTGTTTGTAGAAAAAACTACAATAAGTGAAAGTTAAGAAATAATTAGTTAAAAATAAATCATTAGGAAAAACAAAGATAAAAAAAATGTAACAATGGCAACATAGTGCATATTTAGATGCGCCCCTCATTATTAGCAAATTGATATTGTTTTATTATTACTTTGGTTTATAGTTGCTATTTTTTTTTTTCACTTTTTATCTAGTCAACAAATATTGAAGTTAATGCGCTTATAATTCTTGATAAACTCGATAGAGTGGACATACCGTATGTACACCGTATTCATATTAGAAATATGTTTATAGTTCTTTAATTAACACAGATTTATGATTTTTTTTATGTAGAACAAAAAATAGCTTACGTAAGACTAAATCTTGCAAATAATACATAAAAATAATATTGTCACTACTGCTAAAGGTCTAACGCTTTGCAAGGTTCTGCTCACATTAACTTTTGCCATTTGTTTTAATTGACAAAAGATATTTTTTTTTGTATTTTTATTTGTGTATGTGCTTTAGGTGTTAGACTTAAGCCATTTTTATTTAACAACTAATTATAGCATTATGCTCATTGAATATAGAGTATTATAAATAAGCTATTGCTTAATAATTTTGAAACAAACAAAAGGAAATTCTCTAAACTTTGTTATAACAAAGTTTTGAGAACTTCATTTTGTTTGTTTCAAAAGTCTAGAGAATTCAAAAGTTTAGAGTTTGGAGTTCAAAAGTTTGTTTGTTTTTTTTTTGTTTACTTTTGTTTATTTGATCCCGTTTCACCTACTTATAATTATAAATAGGAGAAACAGGATCAGCGAGAATCTTCAACTGGTACCACCTATATAATTTTTAGTAAAATGAAATATTTAGTATCGATGAAAATTTCAGAGACTTTCACGTAATTGAACTGTTAAATATAAAAAAAACTATAAAGACTAACCGATTAAAAACTGCAGAAGATAAATTTGTTTTAGTTTTTAAAAGTAGTAAAAAAGCTTATGAATTGTTTTTGCATATTGTGCGCCATGATTATACTTCTAAAACAAAATCTTTACTTTGGGTTAAAAATTTTTAAAGTTATTTGTGAAATAATCTTAATGCGTACGCGTTAATAAATCTTACGAGAATGTTTTAGTATATGCGTGTATACTAAAATTTGCTCGTAGAATTTTTAAACGTTTTCCGCACCGTACTTTATGTACTAGCACTTTTGCTTATTCGCAAATCGAAAATGTTTCTTAATATATGTTAATCCCAGCTTGAGAAAAGTTATTTTTGAATGCAAAGCATTATATAATATCAATGTATATTAATTTTAAAAAATTGACGCGTGGCTCTTACATCCGGACTCAAAGGCTTTTTGCCAAGCAGTAATAAAGAAGAAAAACAATGTTCAAAAGAATAAATTAAAACTTTAAAAAAGCAATAAATAATATTCAAAATTGTTTTCAACTCAATTTTAAACTGAAAATTTAATTAAAATAATATATTATTAGAATGCGCAGAATGTTTAAATTAATCTAAAACAGAGTTAGCTTATCGCAAAGTAAATGCGATATAACGGCTTCTTTTCCGTTACTCTATGGAAATCTAATAGTCGATGTAGCGATAATTGAACTTGATCATAACAAATTAATTAGTATCACGTGATTGAACAGTTCATATATTAAATATACCTTGCAAAATAATTTATTTTAAGTGTACAATAATTTAAAAATAATAATAAAAATAACTTAAATAAGTGAATAAATTTATATTTAACTGAGCTGTAAGATAGTTATTAAATTTTTGAGAAACTCTAACAAATGGAATGAGCCGACAAATAAAACAACGTCTTGTTTTTACAAAATAATTTAGTATTTTTTAGTTTATAACTTATGTGTGTATATTTGTATTTTTAGGTAAGCTTATCCAAACTATTAAAAATAACCAGAAAGTGTTTAATGCGCTCTATGTATAGTGGCGTGTCTTCTAACATCGACTTTTCGATAAAAACATTTTCCGCAAAAACTGCAAGAGTAAGGCCTGACACCGGTATGTCTGCGCTGGTGCGTTAACATATTTGAAGATTGACTAAATCGCTTTCCGCAAGTGTGACATTGGTATGGTTTGTTTCCACTATGAATAATAGTGTGCTTTTCTAAGTCCGATTTACGAAGGAAACAAGTACCGCATTGTTTACATCGATAGGATTTATTGTTTTTATGAATAAGACGGTGGTTAGACAAACTACTTGACCTTTGAAATTGTTTGAGACAAATCTCGCACTGATACTGACGAAAAGTGTTTATAATGTTTGAAGAATTGTTTATTTTTGGAAAAAAGATCTTGGTTGTATTTTCAGGATAAATAGAAGAACAAATTTCTTCGTTGTCTTCTTCTATACTCAAAATACTAGCTTGTGGAGATGGAATAAGTTCATCTGACGATAAACTATGGTACTGATAACAATTTTGAACACCAAACGAAGTTTTTGTTTTTTCTTTAGGAAGATCGTTGTTTTTATCCATTAGTAAAATGTCTTTAATGCTGAAACTCGAACTTGTTTTGACACTGTTTATTTTTAGGCCACGGAATTTACAAATATTCTCGGCTTTTACCGTAAAGTTTACATTCCATTGACATGATTTATTATAAGATTCATTAGGTGCAAATTCACTGGATGCAAGTACTAAAATTTTAAGTTAAAAGTAATCAATATTACTTAAAAATATTTGCAGAAATAAATTGTTCAAATAATAATTTAAAAGTTATTGAATAACAATTTGCAGTTATGCAAATGCACTTACATTGATTATATTTGGTGTCTTGTTGACATGGAGACGTTTGTAAAATACACGAGCCGTTAACTAAACAGCATGATTCTCTTTTTATTAGAAAAGCTTTTGGCATTTTGGAAAGTAAGATGCTAGTCGGTTGTTGAAATACATGTGAGCTGCTTATTTGTTGGAAATTCATTTTATAAGTGACACATAGAATTCCAATATAAATTAATAGCTCAATTTCATTTACGTAATACACATTTAACGCAACTCATAGGTTACGCGAGGTTCATAGCTTACATAATTGATACTGGAGATTAATATCGGGATGTCTTTAATATTTTAAAGAGCTGATTTTTATCTCAAAGAATTATGCTGATTGAAACTATAGAAATCTTCGACGGGTTTCATTGTTTCAATCATTATTTATATATATTTATTGTTTAAGGCGTAATTATTTCAAATCAAAACAATATGCAATCAATCGTACAATAAGCAATCAATTAGCGAACTATTTTTTCTTCAACACGTTATTTAATTCATTTAAAAAACAAACAAAACGAAAATCTTGAAACGAATTAACTTACTTCCGATTTTAATAAATTTGATTCATAAAATCTTTTATCAATATATACACGTCTGAATATATATATATATATATATATATATATATATATATATATATATATATATATATATATATATATATATATATATATATATATATATATATATATATATATATATATATATATTTATACACACACACATATATATATATATATATATATATATATATATATATAAATTATGTAAATTATATATATATATATATATATATATATATATATATATATATATATATATATATATATATATATATATATAAATATAAATTATGTGCAAATAGAATGCTAAATGTTCTTAAAAAACAGAGCAATAATAAATTAGTAAAAATACTTATTTAAATTTTCAACAAGTTGTTTCGCCATTAGTAGGTTCATTAGGAAGCTTTCTGATGAAGCTACTGACGGCGAAACAACTTGTTGATGTATATATATATATATATATATATATATATATATATATATATATATATATATATATATATATATATATATATATATATATATATATATATATATATATATATATATATATATATATATATATATATATATATATATATATATATATATATATATATATATATATATATATATATATATATATATATATATATATATATATATATATATATATATATATATATATACATATATATATATATATATGTATATATATATATATATAAACTAAATTGTTATAGCTGCAGCATTGAAAAAAATATATATCATATGCGAGTTTGGGCAGGATCTCGTCAAAATGATTGATAAAACACCTCTAGCATACTTCAATAACTTTTCACTACTTTTACTATTTTCTTAATTTGCAAGCAAGCAAGGGGAGTGGCGATTCTAAATGACAACACATAAATTAAAAAAGATTTTAAAATTATCAGTTTTTTAGCGTTTCCTTCCGTTTTTCAAGTAATTTATTAGGAGGAGCGTTAAACAACGTGCTAAAGATCTCTTATAAATTAAACTCATATATAATACACACAGGCACATTTCCGTTGAATAATTAGTCATTAATAAAAGTTACAAACTTAGACAAGTTCTAAACTATGTTATATATCTACACATTTCTACTTGCGAATGTGTTTGCATGTGTGTGTATTTGTATATAAATATATATATATATATATATATATGTATATATATATATATATATATATATATATATATATATATATATATATATATATATATACATATATATATATATATATATATATATATTATTATTATTATTATTATTATTATTATTATTATTATATTAGGATAATATATATTAATATATATTATCCTAATATCTTGTAATATCTTTTACTTTTACTTTACCAAAAATTTTCATAAATACCACACACAATTTTCGAATGGTAAATTTGTTATTCCAAGATCTTATTTAAAACTCAGTTCATTTCAAATTCAATATCGTGGACCTTTTCTGCGGAAAAATTTTTTTCAAAATATTTCAAAATAAAAAAAACTCTAAAATTCTCTTTAGAAAAATTCAAAAGAGATCTCTACCATTTCTTATGAGAAAAAAAAATTCGAGTTTAAATATTTCTTCAAAAAAAAGAATAAAAAACTAAAATAACTAAACTCTAGCCATCACTACTCACTTATTTTTTTTTTGATCAAATTGTATTAAAATAGAAAAATTTATGTTTTATTGCTAATATATGTTTTATTCTTAATATCTTAAATAGTATTATTGACTAACGGCTATTATGTAAACGGGGCTCGGCGATAAGACGGTATATGTTTTCTTCTTGCTCTGGCTATTTGTTTTATAGTTTTTACCTCATCGTAAATTATACGGCAAAGATAAGAAAAAATTTTAAGAAAGAAATTTAGTAAATAAATGAAATGTTTCATTAAATAAAATGTATGAGGCATTAAATACCAAATGCAATCTATTTAATAAAACATTCAAAAATACACGAACTGGGTGATTTTTTTAAGTTTTGCGCTAAACGATGCCATAATTGTTGCCCCAATCAGTGAACACCTTATGGCTGCTTAAGCTTATATAGACAATGCATAATGATAAAACATGTCTGTTTAAGCTTTTCTACTATTTTTATTTTATTGATTACCAGCGAATGCGCGTTATGGGTCATTTTTGGCTTAAGACATTTAATTTACTTAATAGAATATATCTACATCTGAATTTTAGCATTTTAAAATTAATAAACATAAAAATCGAAGTCTCTGTAAATGTATTTTTTTGAAAAATGTGTTTAATCCATTATTAAACACACACACGCACACACACATATATATATATATATATTATTTTAAAACACCAAGACTTACAGTTTCTCTCAATACAAATTATTTTATTATACAAGAAACTTTCGCTGGGTTATGGATACCAGCATCATCAGCTTGTAAATTATTACTGTTGTAATAATTTACAAGCTGATTTATATATAATATACTTTCATATAAGATGTCATCTTTCAAAATCTTAGAAGTTCTCCTAAAATGTGGGGGTAAAATAAAATTGATTTTTTGGAGCTTAAAAGCTCATAAAATGTGGAGGAGTTTAATCACAATTTTTCTCAAGGATGGTCTAGTTTAGCAAACCTATGTGTTATGTATGATGCAAGAGAACTCCTTGGTAACGTAAATAACCTTGGTAACGTAACTGCTTAGGTAACTAAAACTCTTCATCTAGAGAGCAAGTTTGTAAACTCTATGCATATGTTTACTTTAAATTTCATCGTGAGTTTTTTTCATAAAATGAGCCACAATTTAGGTTGCCACCTCCTTGGTATTATTGTCTTAACAAGTATTTTGAAAATCTTTTTCAAAACTAGTTTCACAAAAAAGATTTTGACCGGACGCTGATTTAAGAATGAACCGTAATTTATATCTTCTTTTAAATAAATCTTTAGATTTATTTTAAAGCATCTTCTCTTTAGACTCAACTTCAAGTAAACCAATAAAGAAAATTACTTCATTCAAAAAAAAAAACGTAAGAATTTAGGTTTATCGCCTTTATCGATAGCAAAACCAATATAGTTAGTTTGAATATCTTTGAAGAGCTAAAGACTTATCATACATAAGGTAAACTATGCTTTCATTGTATGCAACAAATGATTTCAACTATTTCCAAAGCATTTAGTTAAATGCCTACATCTTGTAGAATGGTTGTTAGCAGCAATGAATCTACATTAAATTTTAAAATCATTCAATTTTAAAATCAAATTTTAAATTTGATTTTAATTTTATCAATTTTAAAATCAAACTTTAAAAATTTATAAACTTTCTATAATTTCACAGAAAAACAATTCTAGTTTGTGGACCAGAGTATATGACATATCATGAAATCAAGAGTACTTAAAAAAAAATTGTTATTTTCTTTTTAAACCAACCTCTACAAACCTACCTAGAACCTAACATGCAAACCTATATTTTACCGTTACTACAGCGGTTGTAAAAAAGTAAAATGCTGGAGGTATTTAGCCCACAAAATTAAATTACTTTGGATGAAGGAAAAGTAGATTAAATACATTAATTAGTTGCAACCAATTAATTCATAGTTGCCCATTCTAACATTCAGTGAAATATCTGTCCGTTATCTATATGCTATCTCTTTAACTCAACATCTCAATCTGTCAATCTAATACTCTTCGTTTTTTGTAAACTCACTAACTCTTGATCAGTTAAATCGAGTAATGATGTTCTTTAATGAGCTGAACTCGTTTTCGGAGAGGGGGGGGGGGGGGGGGAGGGAGGGGTTGTGGTCTCTATATGACAAATAGCCGGAGGAGAATATACCACAATACCAAAACTAGATTCGCATTGTACTTGAATGTTAAATAAAGTAAATGACAAATAGTCTAAATGAACTATATGACAAATAGCCGGAGGAGGATAAATCACAATACCAAAACTAGATTCACATTGTACTTGAATGTTAAATGAAGTTTATTTACAAAAATGTAATGAGTATATGTACTTACTACATTTCTGTAAATACATTTTATTCAAAATTAAAATACAAACATTTTTATTTTTTAAAAAATAATTTTATACAACATTTTTTTTAAAGTAATTTAATACAAACACAAACTTTTTATTTATTTAAAACTAATTTAATAGCTTTTAAAGACTCCACCATTATTGGCTGTTTATTATTTTAAATCAGGTAATGATGTGGGAGGTAATTTTTCCTGTAAAAGAATGTAAATATGGAATTTTTTTTATCGCATCATTTAAATAAGTAATTGGTATTGAAATAAGATCATAAATAAGGGTATACCGCTGCACACTTCATTTTTGTATACCTTTGCACACTTCATTTTTGTACACCGCTGCTCACTTGCTTGACACAGTAATTATTAGGAAGTCTAGGTACGAAAAACGATTTTTTGTTTTTGTTGTTTTTAAACACAATAAAAATTATCTTAAGATCAAGAAAATTAAAACCAAATTTAAATATTTATATATTTGATTTAAATATTATATTTATATATTTGATGGAAGTCTTTTTTTTTTCATGTCAAATTTACAAACCCAGGCGTGTATATATAACTGCAGGTCATAGGTAGTATTTATTTCAAATATAGAAAAATTAAAAAAAAAAGTGTATTTAAGTTTTTTAGATGATTTTTTAGTGATAAAAAAAAACTTGAAAGAATTATTTTTTTTATTATATTAAGCTAATTTATTTTGTTTTTGTAATCAAAAACAACAGCTATGATAATTGTATATTTTTATATTTTCTAAATGTTAATTTGTCTATAATTATTACCAATATATTTTTTAAAAATGATAGCAGTTCAATTATTAATTAAATTGGATTGAAATATGCTTTGGGACACGTTTTAACTTTTCAAGAGTTTACTTAAGTTTACTTTCGTTTTTTAACACCCATATAATTTAAAGTTTGAATTACACGTGACTGAGTTTATAGCTGTGTATGTAAATTAAAGCGAGTAAAAGTTATTTCAGATTGATTACAGTGCTTGCAAAGTTTTTGTTGTAGATATGAAAAAAAAAATATGTAAAAAAGATAAAGACAATATTAAATCGCGAGCATGAGGTCATCAACTAATAAAAAATGCCTTTAAAATAAGCATGCATGCAGCTTTTTACGTATTTTTCACTCTTTTTTCCCCCAATCTAAAACTACTCTCCTCGCCTCAGAAACTTTAATTTCCTCACAAATGTATATTACAGCCTCGCGTAAATTTTGCAACGTTTAATGTCACGTACGTTTAATGTCGCATCAAATCATGTTATCAAAATTAAAAGTTAAATCGAATAGCTAGCGTTATAAAAGTCACGTGACTTTTATAACGCACGTTACGAATGATTTTAAAAAAGTTTGTACAAGATTATCAACCTTTGTTATTAATGCAATATGATATGTTTGTATAAGTTTATTATGCTATATGATATGTTTTTACAAATTGTTCTTGGAGTTTTAAAATATGTATGAAATAAAGTTATATCAAGTTATAATGTTTGAAAAAAAAAGAGTTTTTTCCTCAAATATTCAAATCCTATTTTAACAAATAGAACCACAAATACTCAACAAAACGTTCAGATACTAACTGTATTGTTTCAAAATGTAAATTGGCTTTATACTCAATCATATAGCGAGCCTTTTTTAGTAAAAATCATTTCCAGGTATTGTTCATTTAAAGAAAGACAGTATAGATCAGAAAAAAAATTCAAAGAGATATTATTATGGATAGTATACATGGTTTTATTTTATTAGTTGTTTGATTTTACTAATTTAATTTAAACTTTAATTTGTTCGTTATTTTTGTTTTTTATTTGTTATTTTTTGCCCGTTATTATTAATATTTTTACTTAAGAACAGTTTTTAATTAGCAGTAAGAATTTTAGTTTTTGGTTAAAAAAAATACAGACGTTTGAATTTAGGATCAGATTCTAAATTTTCACTTAATTTTTAAATTTTCACTTAACTTTCAAAATTTTCAATGAATTTTTATTATCTAGGTTACCATTTTATTGATTTTTTATATTGTTACAAGTTCATTGAATAAATATGGCGCCACAATATGAAATAGGAAACAGTGAAATCTTTGTTTTTTTGAATGGCGTATTAAATTTTCCTATTTCTCTTGTGTTATATTTTTTTATATCTTTTTTGAAAATGTAACTTATAAAATGATGTATTAAAAAATTCCAACCACTTAAATAAAGTAACAAAAAATAAGCGACTGAAAAAAAAAAACCCTAAAAAAGTCACACCCATTCATTAACGATAAACAAAATTGAAGTATATTTTTGAGCGCAAAAAAAAGTTAACAAAGTTTTAAAAAACCAATTGATATTTTATAATACAAGAAATGGGGTCATCCATAAAGGACATCACGCTAAGTTTAACTAATGGGGTCATCCATAAAGGACGTCACGCTAAGTTTAACTAATGGTAAGAAGTAGGAGAATGTTGGCTTTCGTGCTCAGAGATGGTTACAGTATTATAGCGTTGAATGAAAATCTCCGTGTAAGGGAGCCAAATACTTCTACTTCTAGTTAATATCTAAATTTTGAATGATGTCCTTTATGGACAATCCCCTATAAATACAGTTTCGTTTTCACTAATTTTTAAATTTTTTCCCCTGCCTTACCTTGAGGTTTTTCCCCTGCTTTACCTTACCTTAGTTTGATAAATATTTAGCACATTTATTACTTTAATAGCAAACTTATTTTAAGGTAAAAATAATCAAAAAAGTGTTGTTGACATCGATATGGAACTTTCAAGTGTGTGTTTTGTTTATTTATTTGCTTTTATATATTATATTATTAAACGGCAAAATAACAAAAATTTCAAATAATCATAATAAAAAATTGAATTCAAATTCTTAGACAGCGTATTTTTTTTAGAAAAAAAAAATTCTTTTCGTTCCATCTTCTCTCTTCCTTGATTCTATCTCTTCCTTGATTCTATATTTGACAAACTAATTTTTATTTTGAAATTTTGAATAACCGCATCCTTACTTAATGAACCGGCATTAGGTTAACATCAAGTTTTGCATTCTTATTAAAGTACATGCCAAAGTTTTGCCAAACTTTTGCATTCTTCGCGTTATTTTTTACCATTAAAAAGGAAAAAGTAAAAAGAAAACTTTTTATATTCGAGATTCCTTAAATATTGTTAAATGCTAAAAACACAGTTATTAAAGATAACTTTTTTAAGGTAATGTCTTGCACTTTTATTTATAAATATTTTCAGTAAAAAAAAAAAAAGGCTATACAATTAAAAAGAATAGCGAGGTTCCATTTCTAAATGATAAACGAAGCTATAACTCTCAAAAATAATCTTTTGCATAATCGGAAAAGAAATAATAAGATTCGGAGAGATCTTAAATTTTAGGAATACAAATCAAATACTGTTTTTAGGTCTTTTATTGCGCTTTATTTTATTTAAATTTATTTTATTGTTTTTGCACTTAAATGATTATTTAAATTGAAATCTCTAGAAATTAAAATGGAAATACTTGGAAATTAGATGAAATAACTCATTTCAAAAATGTTTTAAAAAAGAATTCGAACTGTTTATAGTTTAAATTTATTTTAAAATATTATTTCTCAGCAAACAAAAAACAAAACAAAACAATAACAACTACGTGTCCGCTTTAAAAACAAAAATACAGTTAAACATTGATCGCATTTATTAAAATCCTCCGTTGGCATTAAACTTTTTTTTTTCGTTTAATAGTCTTTATCTCCCGCAAAATCTACTTCAATATCTACCGCAAAATCTACTAAATTTCACAACTTCCACCTTTTTTTTTTTTTTTTTCTTCTTGAATGTGTGTGCTAATGAGCAATTAACCTCAATTTTTTAGCCGGTTGGTGGTGGCGTTGAGTGGTGGTGAAACGCTTTTAGAAAGTGTACTAAAAGCGACATTTTTTTGTTAAAAAAAGTTTTTCAAAAAAATATATATATTTACAAAAAATAAGAAATATATTTACACAAAAATAAGAAAATCTTAGATTAAGAATGAGGAAAAAACGTAAAAATCAAAATTAATCTTTTAATTTCAACCAAAGTTTGATAAATTTTTGGCGATTGAGAAAAAACTTAGAAATTATGAAGAACATTTTTTTAAAATATCGATTAGTTCAAATTTTTCTCTTATTTTGCCATTTTGATTATTTCAAATCTTTTTTAGCATATTATATTTAATACTATATTTACTAATATAGGTTTAGCTAAAAAAATAGATAAAGTTTGAAGTGATAAAAATAGAAAAAAAAAGAAAAAAAAAAAGGAGAGTTTTTTATTTTACATTCTTAAGCTTTTTGAAGACACGTGTGCGATTTTCATAATATTTTCATAAAGTTAATTTCTAAAATCGTCAAAATTTATATTAGCAAATACAATAAACTTTTGCTTTCGTCTTAAAATTTTTTTTTTGCTGCAACAATATATTCCAGTTAAAACAATGAAACAACATATTGTTGCCATAGCAATCCATAAAACAACCCATGGATATTTATGATTAACTTCTACATGACAGAACGTGTTAGAGTTACAGCTTTCTATATTACGAAAGGTTTTGTTGAGCTCACTTCCTTTTAATGCTACAGGGCTTGAACACTTACCCAAAACGTTTAATGTAAACCGAAGTGCTGAGAGCGCCTCACAGCTGCAATCAATGGGGTTGTTTGCGAGGTTTAATTGCGTAAGTGTTGAGCCACAAAAGGTTTCTCCGTACAATATAGATATATTGTTTGAGCTTAAATCTATATACTGCATTTTTATATTTTGAAAAGCATGTCTACCAACAAAGTTTATATCATTATATTCTAAGTTTAAAGAACGTAAAGATTTCAATTTTGAAAATATGTTGTCGTTTATTTCTTTTAATTCGCAGTTTGCTAAATTGAGCGTTTGAAGCTTATCAAGGCCATAAAATGATTTACTTTCAATTTTTGTAAAACTATTATCGTTTAGCCAAAGCTCTTGTAAACGTTCCATCGTGTGAAATGTTTTTGGAGGAATTTTTTGAAGCTCGTTTCTGTGCAAACGCAAAACTTCGATATTTCTGTAACTAGTAAAACTCTCTTTAGAAATTGATTTAAACTTGTTGTTGTTTAAGAGAAGCCGCTTGACAGACGGTAAGCACGTCGAAATATTTTGCGGCAAATCTATCATCTGATTATAAGTCAAACTTAAAACAGTAAGGTTTGTAAAGTTTTTAAAGTTACATGTTTGAAACAACTGCATATTCTGAAAGGAAATGAAAAGCTCTCCAATAGAATTAGGTAAAATTTGGTGCAACAGCATCAAGTCTTCACTTTTTAGTTCATCTAAACAATAAGCCTTGTTCTGTTCCAAACTGCAACTGTTTTTCGAAAACCCTTTGCTCAATGAAAAATAACACAAGAGCCAAGTAAAAACATATCTTTTCATCGTAAAAACTTAGCAGTGGAACTTTTTAAAATTGAAAATGTTGTATCGAAGTCAGTTGCATAAAGCGTATTCTATTTTTTATTTGTTTATATACCCTGCTTAAAATTTGAAATCTTTTAGCAATTTTTAAAAGCAAAATACATTTAAGGTAAGGTGGGAAGGCGGCGAATAAAAATTCGAGTCAATAAGTTTATTTTCTATTCTACGTTAGTCAGGCTTTAAAAATTTGATATTGTTTTCTCATCAAATTAAATTTATGCCTGCAAAATAAAATTTTAAAAAGAAAAGTAAACAGTATAAAAAATCAAATAATAGATAAATCTTTTGTTAAAACATTTTATGGATTAAGCTTTCTTTAATTATGCAAATTTGTTAGAAAACCAAGAATGCATGTTTTCCCTCTTGACTTGAGTTAACATTTTAATTTTTACGAAATTAATAATAATTGCGTAATTAATAGTGCTTTAATTACGCAAAAATTAGACATTTAAAATGTTAACTTGCATCGAAGAAAAAGTTAGTCAAAACAAATCAGTTCAATCATTACAAAAAAAATTACATGGTTCTCCAATAAAAATGTTTTATATATTTTCTTATTGTTTTCCATTGTTTTCAGTTTAAACCTTTTTGATATCTTTATTGCTCAGGTGGAAAAAAGTAAAAAATTGAAAACTTCCAAAAACTCTTGATAAATTAGGCATCCGCATAGGCAGCAAATTTCTTAAAGCGGCTTTAAAAATTTGCTACAAAAATTTACATTTGCTTACTAAAATTTACATTTGCTACTTTAAAATTTACTAAAATTTGCTTACTAAAATTTACATTTGCTACTATATAATTTACTAAAATTTACATTTGCTACTATAAAATTTGTTTACAAAAATTTGCAAAAAAAATTAATAAAAAAAAAAATTAACAAAAAAAAAAAGGCGAATCAGGCAGCAGACGTGACATAGCAAACGTGTTAGCTCCATGTTGTAGTTGTACGACTGTGCAAGTACTTAGTCAACTACACCTTTTCAAGATGTAAATGAGAACATGAAAGTTGTAATTAAGAAGTCGTAATATGTAATTAAGAAACACAACATGTAATTGAGAAAACGTTATATGTAATTGAGAAACACAACATGTAAATAAGAAGTCGTAACATGTAATTAAGAAACACAACATGTAAATGAGAAAACGTAAGATATAATTGAGAAATCATAATATGTAATTGAGAAATCGTAACTTGTAATTGAGAACACATAAATTAAAATAGCAAATTCACAGTCTAAGTTTGTAGGTTGTTACAAAAGGTCTTTTTGGACATGAATTTAAGTTATAATCTTAAATTTTGCTTTTGTATGCACAAGTAATAATAATGGAATTGAAAGATCGTTGTGTTATATGCCAATACACTATGACCCGAAAGTCTGTGATTAAGCTAAATCCGTGTCAACATTTATGTCACCAAATTTGTTTACGTCCAGTTCTGGAACAACCAGATTCAAGTTGTCCGATTTGTCGGCATGAAATACACACAACTGAACAAGTTGAAAGGAAACGTTACGTTTTATCTTCTCCAAATGACAGGAGAAGAGTTGTTGAAAGTGCAGAGCGATTTGAAGATTGGGTGAATCTCGCGCAAACGCTAGGTATCAAATATAAGACAGCATACAATTGGGTTCGCAGCGGAAATTCAAATTTCATCGGAAAAGGAGGTTTTAAACCGAAAAAGTTGACCGAAGATCAAATCGAAGAAACATTAACATGGATTGAAAATGATTGTCAATTAACATTGGTGGCCATCAAAACAAAGATATTAAGACAATTTAACATAAACGTTAGCACAACAACAATAGCAAATTACCTCGAAGGCAGATTGTTCTCATTAAAAAAAGTGCACAAGGAGCCTTCTACAATGAACAGTTATGAAAACAAACAAAAAAGAGCTGAATATGTTAGAAACATCAACGAACATATCACAAATGGTCGTCAGATAGTTTGGTTGGATGAAACAAATTTTAACCTTTTTTGTAGAAAAACGCAAGGACGCGCGAGACAAGGAAAAAAAGCAATTATGAAAGTACCTGCTTCAAAAGGTTTAAACATACACTTGATCGCAGCTATTTCAAATACAAATGTCGTCATGATAGAAACTTGCAGGAGATCATTTAAAGCAGATTCCTGTAACGAGTGGATGTTGGCTATGTTTCACCAGTGGGTTACATCCGGGAATCGTTTGGAGGATTTGACCGTCGTAACCTTCGACCATATAAACTGATAGACCCGCCGTAAGTTATATATTTTGAAGCCAACATCTTTTAGCGCGTGACGTCACGTTTGGGCAAAACAAAACGCGATTCAAGCGAAATAAAGCTTTAAGAATAGAAAACTGTTTATTAAATGTAAAATTTTGTAGAAAAAACCATATTACTATTATTATTATTTTTTTAAATATGATTAAATTTATCATTTGTATCAATTATTATTTTTAGATTTCTTAGATAAGAAAACGTAACAGTTGATACAATTTTATGTATTTTATTATCCATTACATAATATACAAAACAACTTTTTATTGATTCGAAAATTAAATTTGCTTTGTTAATACACTTTGTATACGTTTATTATGTAGTAAATTGTTGATCAAGTCAGTTTTGTGGTGCAATCTTATCTTTAAATACTAAGCAATATTAGTTTTATAATTTCTTCACCACTTTCATAAATAAATTACAGACAACGCTTAACAATATTAGATTTTTCACAACCATCTAAACTATTAATTAAAAATTATACATCAGGAAGTTTCCAACGTCCATTTACACAGTTTACCATAAAAACTAAAGTTTCTTTTGTTTTGGGTTAACTATTATTATTGATATCAGCACAAAAATCAATATAACTAGAAAATTTATGGCCTGTTTATTCAATTTTTTTTTCAAATGGTCATTTCATCTTACATAAATGAACACACAATATGTTGACCAACTTTCTGAGCCTCTTTTATTTTGCTATGAAGAGTAACTAAAGCTTCTTTACAAAATCCAGGGAAACAGTCAACACTTTTATGCCATTTTGTATAATTCCAGGATGAAGAAGTGCATTACTAAATGTTTTCCTAACATAACTATATGCTTTAGCAGAATAAAAATTTAATGTTAAATCAAGGTTGTTAACAAGGCCAAAATTAGCAAGGACATGGCCAAAGCCACATGTTACAAGGCTAAAGCCAAGACCAATGCCAAAAGTTACAAGGTTAAAGCCTGGAATTTTAAAGTCAAGGCCAAGAATAAAAATATTTTCAAGCCCAAAGACTTGAATTTTTGTCTAACGTTAAGGTCAATTATTAACAAAACTGTAGGTAACAATTCCTGTTACAATAAACCACATGTTGTAAAAATAAACCAGGGTTATGCCCAAAATTCTATGATGTCAATAAAAAACATACTTGTGGATATGTATGAAGCCGAAAACAAAAATACATAAAAGTAAAGAATAAAATCTTTTAATTCTTCAATTTTATGTACTTTTATTGAAGACCAAGGCCAAGACCAAGACAAACAGTTTTAAGACCAAGGCCTTAAGTCAAGGTCAAAGCCTAGGACTAACAACTTTGTGTTGTAGCAAAGCTTCATAATTCTGGTGGGTAATGCTTTTTAACTTTTCTTGTAAAATCCGACAATATAACTGTTTTGTAGACTCAGACATAGCTCCCTAAAATTAAATAGATTAAATAAATACATTTTTAGTTACAACATCATATTTATACTTGAAAACCCAATCAAGTAAATTAGGGCATCGTTGATTGGGGTATCAAGAAATAGACGAAATTATCACAATAGCATTACAATCATAACAACAATTATTACTGTTACGACAAACACAATAATTAACTTATTTCTATTCTTACCGTAATTGTGATGAATTAAAATTTGCCTTTACTGTTATCTGATGATTAATGTAATAAGTTTTTAATCATAAAAACTTATTAATTTAAAACCATATTTTAACAGTAGGTTGACTAAAACAAAATATTTCTAAAGGTATAACTTAATAAGAAATAAGAAACAAATATTTAAAATAATGAAATAGACAAATAAAATAAAATATGTTCAACAACTACTCTTAATAAAAATATATATTATACCATTAGTGTAATTGATACTTCTTTGGAAATCATAGTATGATTCATGATTTTGATTCATCATATGATTTATACTTTTTGATTTAAAATGATGAAGGTATGAATGTAAGTCTTTAATCCTTTTTATTAAACAACAGTTGGATTGCTGAAGCATTTTAATTGTATTTAAATATATTGTTTACCATTGGTGTTAGGATTGATTTGACACTTTTCAACAATGTTTTTAAAACCATAAAGATATTATTGTCACAAAAAGTAAACTCAAACATTTACATCAATATATGATATTGTAAAAGTAATTGTAAAGTGTCATTGTAATGTATTTAAATTAGATTTACTGTATTAAATTACTGGTGATATTATTGTTAACATAAATGATATAGTTATCAACATTGTTCCTAAAAAAAAAAAAAAAAAAAAATATATATATATATATATATATATATATATATATATATATATATATATATATATATATATTTACGAACAATAATGTTGATAATCATACCATTAATGTTAACATTAGATTTACTGTATAACATTAATGTTATACAGTCTAATGCGTATATAGTCTAATGCGTATATATATATATATATATATATATATATATATATATATATATATATATATATATATATATATATATATGTATATATATATATATATATATAGGCACACAATATATATGTTACAAAAACTAAACTTAAAAGTTTTAAATCAATATATGTCATTGCAAAAAGATTAGTTACATTAGACTTACTGTATTTGAATCATTGGTGGTAATATTTGAAATAATTCTTTGTCTATATTTTTTGGTAGTTTTCTAGAATAAATACTTTTTCATAAAAGTGTTGGGAAATTAAATATAGAAGAAATTGCATTTTTTTTTTTAGTTTCTTTTGTGAACTCGAAAGACTTCCTTTATACCAGTGAAATATTTACCACAACGTTTAGACAGTTTACTAGGAGTAAAACCATCACTCCACATAACTTGTATCCATTTTCTCCTCAATTCTATATCTTTCAGAAAACTACCAACAAAAATAAGCATATTAAAATAATATGCTATATACTTAAATATAAATAC